GGGGGGGGGGGGGGGAACAGACGATAGACGTCCGTCTGTCTGTGACTGGCGACCTGGCTCGACAAATACGCTACAGACTGGAGCCCATTTCACCATCTAGGCGCCAAACTGCATTCGAAGACTTGCGCACAATAAGTAATATTTTGCCCGAGCTGTCCCAACTGTTACCTTTTCAATCCGTGGTCGGTGCGTCGAAATAGCACAGCATCTGTGCCGATACATAAAGTCGGGAAGCGAGCGTCCCCGCCCAAAACCGAGGCAGGCGGGATATAATTGGTTCTCCGCTGCTGCTGTGCTCACTCAACAGTTGCTACTGCTGTGTGGCAAGACACGCACGCACCACCGGGAGAGCGAGGCGGGACGGTGTGCCCTATGCTGCTGTTAGCTATCGGTGGAGGAAGCGAGAGTAGAGGAAAAAAGTGTTTGGTTGCGTTGGTGGTGTGCGTTTTGACCACCATCAGCGTTCGTTTTGACCACCAGCGCTTGCTTGTTGTCATCAGCGAGCGAGAGAGAGGACAGAGAGAGGCACACCAACACTCTGCTTAGACACCACCATTGATGATGTTTGTTTGTTCTTTGTTTTTCTCCCATCTTTGGATTCTGTCGTCTGCCCTTCTGGCCCCTATCCTCCACTTCTACCAGCTAGACGACCCAACCAGGGTCACATAGGAGGGGGGGGATGGACCCCCTCCTGCGGTTGTGTGTGCTGCTGTAGACTTTATACTTGTGTGCGAGGGTCTAGGGTGCCACCTGTGCCTTCCGTGCTAGTCTGTTCACCCATCACACGTTTTTGTGTTTTGCCGGATGAACGCTCGAACTATGCAGTCTAGTCTAGGGAGAGGAATAGAACGAGTACTTTTTTTTTTGCGCTGCAAGGTCATGGTGAATAACACCCCCCTTTCTCTAGCTCATGATCATGAACACCACCCCCCCTTCCCTCGAAACGCACGAGCTGCAGGTACTGTTTTTGCAACCCAAAAAAATCATTACCCCGCCCCCGGTCAGTCTAGCAATGAGCCGAGCAACGCGAAGCGCGACCGTTTTTCCCTTCATACCCAAGAGGGAAAAAAAGGCTCTATATATCGGCCTATTCCGCCGCACGATGCAGGGGCCCAAAACTTGATTTCGGGGAAGCCTGAATAGCACACCTTTGGGACCAGAACGAGGTCGATAGGGCACCGATTGACGATTTGTTCGCTGCTGAGGAAGAAGAAAACTAGCGCGCTCTTGTCCACACCGGTTTCGTCGTGCTCCGACAGCAGATGGCCGTGCTTTGCCGGCATATGTACCCAAAATTCGTAGAAGATTCTGCTCCCTGTCCCCTGGTTTTCGCTACGACAAGGGGGAACGCAAAGGCGGAGATCTGACGCGCGCGCGATTCAAAAGCTAGGAGAAGAAACAGAGGTGCAACCCCTGAGAAGTCTCGCACATCCACAGAATCACACCCACCCGCCGTGGTCCCATCCCTTCCATAGGTAAACGCACAGCTGAAAGCGGACCTGATGTGCCCGCTCTCTGGCTAAGTAACAGGGGAAGTCGTGGCGGTTCTATGGTCGGCCGTTGGAAAAACCGATGGTGATGGGTGGAAATGATAGGTAGGTCTTGCCTACAGCAGCAGCAACAACAACAGCAGCGGAGAGTAAAGTTCAGGCGGTCGGTGCTGTTGATACAGTCGCCACGTGGGACTCAGAACGATAGGGATGGCATCGTTCGCTGGACAAAACTATAACAGAACGGGGAATAGGGAAGCAAACAAACGCGGCCTCCAGCGAAGGCGAAACATGAGCAGAGAGGCTGAGATGTTGACAACAAACGGTCTGCGACAGAACGGGCTGGCTTTTGTTTCGAAATAATTGGAAATGCTGCCCGATGGGTTCTATCTAGAGGTGTTTTCGTGTTGCCAATATTGTTCATTTTTGATGTAGGTGCCAATCGTTTGGAGGTACTGCTGTAGCATCGTGTTTCATGTTGCGTGCGTGTGGTCCTCCGCCTTTCGTTGGTGTAGCAAATGACACCGGTGGGAGCGGATGCGTAGTCTTGAAGATGGGCTCAGTATATTCCGGATACATGTATGTATGAAGTGCGGAGGAAGTCAACAGCACACAGCACCATCGCAGGTATTGAGCCGACCCTGGGGCTCGTTACCCATCCCTATCTAGTATCGCGAGATGGGTCCAGCCGTCCCATGCCCTCGTCGACGGTCTAACTCGAAGTTTGGTACTCACGAGAGCTTTTCAGATTTTTTTTCGCCGCTGTCGGGATTCGATATGCGATAGAATAGTACACAACAGAACCAAGAGGCCATTGTCACAGGACAGGAAACAGGAACCTATCCACACCCTGGTTGCCCTGGTCTCCAACAATCGGTAGTTGTCTTTGAAAATAACAAACAACCAATATCGAATCAACGAAAGACTACACCCATTCGAGATAATGCGACGGTCGAAGGGAATGTGTTGAAGTCTTGACACTAGTTTAGTGAGCTAGTGAGTGGAAAGAAAACCGGATACTGGGCTTATTTAGGGCCGATAATACACCGAGTATTTATCAGTGATCCCAGGAGAGTTATGGATACAAATATTGCACAGGACATCTCCCCTGCAGTCTGCAGTCTAGTCTACCAGGATCAACGAGAATCTCGCGTGTTGTAAACTACCTTACCGGAACACGTCGCAGTGTCTCTTGACAACATGCTGGATCTATATATTGCTGCTGCTGTTGATCCTACACGTACGTAGACCATGCGGCTCAAATGCGGCTCAAATATTTGTACACTTGTTTTTTGTTAACGACCGCCGGACTGCTACAACCATGAGCGAGCGGGCTCCTTTTCCCCGCCAAACCGAGACGACTGTACCTCCTCTGGAGTCCTAATGAACATACAATGTTGTCTGTTCCTCACCTCCCACCGCCGAGCCGTTTCGTTATTCTGTATTGCTCATTCATGAGCGACGCGAAGGTGCGACCTTGACTGGCCGGTGTTCCTGTACTGGCACTCATCTCGCGGAACAGCAGGTCCAACCCAGAGGAGACTAAACCGACGACAGCAGTAGCAGTAGACAACGAACGGAGTAGGATCTTTGGATGCATTTCCCACGAGGTGTTGAAAGCCTCGCACGGTCAGGTGCCACTCCGAAAGAGGCCAGCACAACAACAGGTCTGGTGTGGTCAGATTGGCGCCCAACATCTCGAACACACAAGTATTAGTCTACTATTGGGCTCCAGTTTTTGCACACCAACTCGCACACACACGTACATGCGTGTATGTACAGCAGTAGTCTACGCAGCGGCTCTTATGAGTGATGTCTCACATTGCTACGTACCCTCTTCGTCAGTGAAGTCCTTCCAGGATGTGCGTGGGTGTGCGTGGGGGAGAGAGAGGGAGAGGAAGGGAGGGAGGTAGGGAGAGAGGGAGAAGAGAGAGAGAGAGAGAGAGAGAGAGAGAGAGAGAGAGAG